AAGGGACACCAAACACTTTTATAGAACATTGCAGGATTTTTAAAATATGGCTTAGTTTATCCAAATAGCTAAAACTTAAAGTGAGCAAAGATGAAACTAGACAAATATTACTATGAATCTGAGTAGACCTGAGGAATTTATATATTTTTTTCGTTTCTTTGTTTTTTTGAGACAGGGTTTCTCTGTGTGGCTTTGTGCCTGTCCTGGAACTCACTCTGTAGCCCAGGCTGGCCTCGAACTCACAGAGATCCGCCTTCCTCTGCCTCCCGAGTGCTGGGATTAAAGGTGTGTGCCACCACTGCCCAGCTGTTTCTTTGTTTTTTGAGACAGGGTTTCTCTGTAGCTTTGGAGCCACTACACTCTGTGGCTCAGGCTCACAGAGATCTTCCTGTCTCTGCCTCCCAAGTGCTGGGATTAAAGACATGTACCACCAACGCCCAGCTAGAATTTATAAATCTTGATTATCAAATATATCTTATTTATCCAGCATAAGTTACTATATAAATTTTCTAGCACCTTGGTGTTAGTTTATGTGGGAGTAGGTGTTATTTATTAAGCAGCACAATGTTATTTATTAAGCGGCAATGTTTACCATGAGAGAGAAGCCACGAGGTGCAACAAAACCCACTATAAGAGTTTATTAAGGGAAGGGACTAGAAGGGGTGTGCATAGACCTATGGAATGATTGTGCAGGAAGAGAGGGGAGGAATAGGTGGAACCCGCGTTTATGGGTCCCCCCTGAACATGCACATGTGGGCTTACATAGCTACACCACGCATGGGCATAGATTGGGTGACCACTCTGTGTGAAGGTGATTAGGTGATCACACAGTGCACAGAGCACACAGGAGGAAGGCCCTAGGATAACTAAGCATCTTGCCTGGCTACAGGACAGAGCGTGTAGCTGGGGGTGTGGCTAGGAATTCTAACATTCCAGACTCTTTGTTTTTATTAAAAATGACGGGTAAACGGGAACGGGCGCTGTTTCTCCTGCAACTGCTTCCAGCTGACTCAGTGGGCATCGGTTAACTTTTGGGGGTAGGGAAGGGGGCTTTTGGGGTAGCCAGACGTCCTGAGGTAGTTGATTGTCCTCCACTACTCTGGGAATCATCCATTATCTTCTGCTGCTTTGGGCTCAGTGACTGTTTGGGTCTGATGAGGTGCTGGTGAGGCAGAAGAGGAAGTTTAGAAAAAATTATACCTTGGGGGGGAGATCCCTGAGAGGTCCTGGGATGTGTGGGGGTCCTGGGACCAGGAAAGTTTGAATTATACTTATCTGAAGTGGATCTGATCTGTTCAGGCGGATTCAAGCTGGTTCTGGAGCTTGGAAGAATTTTTGAACATATTAAGAAGCAGCCACAGGGAATTAAAAATCTTGAGCTGGTAGCCATGATTTTATAATGTTTAGTATTCTGCTATAAGACTTTTTAACTGCAAGTATGGGGGTGTAAAAAGGCCAAGAGGTTGGGTGGAGCAGCTTTTTTCTGAGAAGGTCAGAAATGATAGCTTAAGTCCTCTAAGGCTCTAGAGTGAGAGAGAGTACTGAGCTTGGGTAATATACCTGGTAGGGTCCTGCAACTGGATAATAATAGGGGGATGGTGCCTAGCAACAGAAGTGTTCTGGGTGTCCCAGACTTTGGGGTCCTCCTGAGAGGGTGACGAGGGAAATAAAATGTTGGAACTAGTAGGCTGGGTGACTAGGGGGAGGAGGAGGAGGAGGAAGGAGCTACTGACGAGTCTGAGGTAAGGAAAATGGGGGGGAGCAAATGAAATAAAAGCTCCTACCTTAGCTAGAAAATCTCTTCCCATTAGGGGCACAGGACAGGTTGGCACAACTAAAAATGTGTGGGTGAGAGAGATACCCCTGAAATACAACTAAGTGGTGGGGTCTGGTGAGGCAGGTAAGGCTGTCCCCCTACCCCAACAATAGGGAGACAAGAAGGAGAGGTGGGACCCCAAAACTCCCTCAGGACTGAGTAAGTGGCTCCAGTGTCCAAAAGGAAGGAAATGGATCACCCTGATACTGTAACGGCTATCCTGGGTTCCCTTCAATCATCCATTGCCAAGCCTAGGAGACCGACTGGAGGGTGGTCTTCCCTCGTTTGATGTCCCCATGCCATAAGGTGCATGGGGGCACTCAGCTGACCAGTGTCCCTCTCGGTGGCACTTTGGACAAGGCCCAGATGGTGGCCTGAGTGGGGCAGGGTAGGCATGAGCCCAGTGGTTTTCTCTACCACACTTAAGACAGGGACCTGGAGGCCTTTGAGTGGCTGGTCGGGGATATATATATATATATATATATATATATATATATATATATATGAAAAGATAATATATATTCATATATATATATATATTTGAGAGATAAGGCTATAAGATTGGGCAATACATTGGAATTGTTTAATTCCATTCCAATTAAACAAGAAAGCAGAGTTAGAGGTATAAGAGCCCAGTTTTTTTTCTATCTGAGGAAGTTCTGTGAGGGAGAAAGGGACATGAACTGTAACCAGTCCATCCACCTCAGCCACCTCTCGCGAAGGGAGAACGGTTGCTGGGTTGGCATGGCTGGAGTCGGGTCCCTTAGCAGCTGAGAACGAGTGACCGACCGAGTGACCGGAGGAGTGAAGGTGGGAGCTGGAGTCAGACGGTTCGAGTCGCCTGATATCGGAGAGGAGGAGGGGCTAGAGGAGGAGCCCAAGGGGCAGACGCCCGGGGAGCAGGAGCAGGAGGTCGGATAGTGGAGGTTCCTTGGCGGGTCCAGAGCGGTAGTCAGAGGTTCCTCAGGTTCGGGTTGCACATCTGGGAGCATGTGGGCAGAGAGAGGAATCGAGAGGGGAGGGTTTAGAGCTGAGGTTAAAAAAAAAAAGCTTGGATGTAAGGTAACTTTCCTTTGGCGCGTTTGCTGGCAGGAGTTAGATAATTCCCATAGAATATCAGGGTCCAGTGAGCCATTAGGTAGCCATTTTTATTGTTATCTAAGGGATATTTAGGCCACTTTTTAGTGCACAGCCAGACAAGCTTAGAGGTTTTTAAGTAAGGCATTAAGAGTTTTTAGAAGACATCCCAGAGGAGAGGGGGTACTAATAGGGTTGGAAGCCTTATTTCCCATGGCTGTGGCAGAGAGAAAAAAATAAAATTAAAAAAAAAAATAAGAAAAACAAACATAATCCAAGACTACAATCTCAGGCGTCCCCGAGATCAAGTGAGGATCAGCAATTGGCACAAGTCATTCAATCCTTCATCAAGCCAGAGAATGAGGGCCAGAGTGTACCTAGCCTGAGGATGAATATCTGACAGAGGCTGGCAAAGTCATTCAGTGCTTCGGTAAGCGAGAAAACGAGGGTGGGGTGTAGGCAGCCTGAGGACGAGGGTCCAACAGTGAGAACGATATCTTAGACTGTAGTCATGGTAAATGGCTGGAGATTTAAGCCTGTGA